AGGGTTTAGGGTTTCAGGAGCTGAGCCGAATCAAGGGCTCTTGCGAGGACGGTGTAGTCTGGTTTATTTAGTTTAGTTTCTTTTTGTTTGTTTTAGTTAGTTTAGTTTGTTTTAGTTTGTTTAGTTTGTTGAATTAGTTTAGTTAGTGTGTTTGGTTCAGTCAGATTTTAGCTTGTCTCAGCTCGTTTATTTAGTTTACTTAGTTTAGTTAGTTTGGTTGGTTTGGNNGGCTACTTTAGTTTACCTTAGCAACAACCTCAATAATGCCAGAGAGTGTTGTTGTCTACCTGAACAAGAACGATGGTATGAATGATGTTGAAAGAGATAGTCTTGGATGGCAAGCGGATTTAGATCAATTTGCCATGGCAAGCGTGACCATGACTGTTGAAGAGGCTTAGTTTTGTCGGCCAGAGCGATTTCCAGATTTTGAATGATGCTGATTCTAACAGTAGTGATGATAGTGTAGGATAGAGTGGCTATATGAGACGAAAGAGAAGGCTTCAATGAATCAAGCTTAAAGTGCAATGTGCTTTCCTTCATGTGATCCCGTGTCAGTTGAACTGAGTGTTCTGAACAAGAGCCCAGGAATTGCCCAGCGGTCGGGGGACAGTCTTGTTTGGTCCGCTCCAGCAGGCAACCCCCCCGATCTCCTTGTTATCAATGGCGAGCATATGCCTGAGATCGCAGCGACACCAGGCCGGTGGCAGAGGTGGCGGGTCATCTTCGCCGGCTGGAGAAATGTGGGCCGAAGTGCGCTGAACTTTGCCGTGGATGGCTGCACCATGCAGCTGTTGGCAAAGGACGAGATGAGGGGTGCGCTGCATGCCTTGCCTGCTCGACATGTAGTGGTGTCCTTTTTGGATTGAGCTGTCTTGTTTGTTGGTTTGGGCCGTCACAACGCATCACGGCAGGGAAGATGCCGACACTGATGACTCTCATCCCTTCTGAAGTTCTATCCCATTCCCGAGGTGAGAGAGGCATCCCAAATACAGCTGTTATGCCCTAAACCCTAAACCCTAAACCCCTAAACCCCTAAACTACAGTAACCCCGAGCCCTTTTTTGAGATCCTGGGCTCCTAAAGAGCACCGAAACCTCGAAGATCGAGACTTACTGGAGCCCCTTCCACGCCGTAGCCATCTCGGTTTAGGGTTTAGGGGTCTAGGGTCTAGGGTTTAGGGTTTAGGGTTTAGGGGTCTAGGGTTTAGGGTTTAGTAGCCAAGCCTCACTTTCTCTCGTTTGTTTGCCACGTATCTTGTTTCCAGGACGGCATGTACATCAGCGACTTCCCGCGCTCGATTCAGCTGGCGCCCATCCCTGCGGGCGGACGAGCGGATATCATGGTGAAGTGCCCGTCGCCTTCTTCCAGGTACCTCAGTCCTTGTTGGCTACAATTTTAGATTTTTGTTATTTTTGTTACCCAGGAAGGATTAGAAATGATCTTTTTTAATATAGCCCCTATTTGGGGAACCAGGTACAGGGTGACCAGTGGTGAGACGCTGATCGGTTTTGTGGACACCTCTGCGATTCCGGTGAGCAGCTCCGAGCTGTCTTCCTGGTCGCCAGTGCTGCCGGACTACATGCAAGACCTTCAGGCCACTCCAGCAAGCGAGGGCTGCAGCTGCGAAACGGAGGTCGAGGAAGCCTCAATTAACGGCGTTCCTTTCTCGGAGGACACCAAACCTTAAACCCTAAACTCCTAAACCCTAAAACCCTAAACCCTAAACCCTAAAACCCTAAAACCCTAAACCCTAAACCCTAAATCCTAAGAGGACACGGTGCTCCATGAAACCTTCCTCGGCGCTGTGGTTGAGCGGAAGATCGACACCGGAGGGCATCCTTACCATCAGCATTTCTATCCGTTCCAGCTCGTGGACGGGTTCCGAAGTTCAGACTTCTTCCATTTGGGGGACTGGCACGACACGTTCATGTCAGACGGCCTAACGAGGGAGCCCGTCACGGTCCGATACAAAACGACCTTCATCGCAGGTGAGATGATGCTGCACTGCCACCGCCTTGACCACGAGGATCGAGGTTCCATGGCCTTTGAGACAATCAGCCCCACAGGCTCCACATGCAGTTGCTCAGCCCGAGCACTGGACACCGGCAACATCGTGATCATCGCCGTTGCTGTGAGTGCGGCGGTTTGTGTTGTGATCTCAGTGCTTGGCTTTTGCGTCTGGCGACGCCGGTCGCACAGGCGCTCGGATGTCGGACCAGAGTGAGGGACCTGAGTTTGGACTGGGGGTTGTTCCAGAGAATCTAGATGACAGCCATGGCAACTCTCGTAAGCAGCCATGGCAACTGTCCTAGAGTGAACCATAAGCTGGAACAGCCTTCCATGTCAGTTAGGGCAGGGACCTTTCAGCAAGGTTCCTGCCCAGCTTTCCTCAACTTCCAAGTTCCAAAGGGACCAGAGATGATTGGGAGAGGCACGAAGTGCTCTCCTCACATGGGGGTTTCCCAGGGCTGTTCTCAATTGCCTTCCGTCGCATATCTGTAAGACTTCATGGCGAAGAAGGCAGTGTTTTGGGTATCCCTAAACCCTGAACCCAAAACCTTACACCCCTCGACGGACCGTAGTTTGGAGCAGACCCTATGCACTGGTACAGAACGGCGCAGTGCGCACGACGAAAAGACCGCTCAGGACATGGTGCTCCCGATGTCTCATAAAATACAGCTCTACTAGAAAAATAATATATAAATACATACATATATATATATATATATATATTTATGGGCATATTTATTTATGAATATTTATTTATTTATTTGTTTATTTATTTATTTACATTTATACACACCCACACACAGAGACCGCAAAGCCCTACTCTAATGATTTCACCCCTCCATACTATACATCATCTGAGAGCACCCGCGTCCTCTCGACCCGAGGCTCCGGTTCTGAGATGACGTGGATCCCGAGAGCCAGGCTGCAACCCGATTCAACCCTAAAACCCCTAAACCCCTAAACCCTGAACCCCCAAGCCCTAAACCCTAAAGCCCCTAAACCCCTAAACCCCAAACCCCTAAGCTCCACCCTAAACCCTAACCCTAAACCTCTTAACGCTAAACCCCTCAAACCTTCATCCCCTGAACCCTAAACCCCTAAACCCTCAACCCTCAACCCCTAACCCCTAAACCCCTAAACCTTGAATGTTCAAACCCTAAGCCTTGTAGCCGGCCCACAGGCTCGAGGCCTTGTTGCCTCGAGCAAGGGGGTTGGCGGCTCGTTTTCTAAGTTTGGGGACCCTTGTGCTACAGGGTTTAGGGTTTAGGGCGTAAAGTTTAGGGTTTAGGGTCTACGTTTGGGGACCCTTGTACTACAGGGTTTAGGGTTTAGGGCGTAAAGTGTAGGGTTTAGGGTTGGGATCCCCAGAAGAGGACGGCGCTCTTGTAATCCGGACATCAAAAGGGACCCCAATCTAGGGAACTTTCCGTTTGGGCGGGCCATCAAGCAAGTGGCCCTACATTCGGTTAGCTTTACTCACCTTCTGGTTGCTTGCTCCAGAATGCGGAAAAAGACCTAGTCTGCAAGCCAGGTCAGTGTAACATTCGGATTTCGGACTGCCTTCATGCATTCAGAACTCCTGGCCTGCTTATGCTGGCTGCGCGAAGATCACCGTCGCAGCGGTACCGTTGACCTGACGACCGTCGATTCGCAGGATGAATAAGTCGCAGGGGCGATGCAATCAAGATGGACCCACGATGATCATCATCTATCTAGGCACATTTTCATGTTTAACTGTCGTGCTATTATTGCAATGCACAGGAGCTCAAAGCGTCGGCACGAGGAAACATTAATATTGGGGCCTATTAATTAGAATAGGGTTTTGGGGTTTAGGGTTTTGGGTTTAGCGTTTTGGGGTATACTATACTATAAGCATAATTAAGGAACCCCCCAATGGAGGCGCGTCGCCTGAAGAATTGCTATGTGCTGGATGCATGGATTCGGCAATCAGCCTAAAATGGATTTGAGGTGAAGGGGAGTCTGGCACTTCATATGACTGATGAGGGGCTGCCCTAAACCCTAAACCCTAAACCCTCAAAGCCCTAGACCCTAAACCCTAAACCATGGTAGCTGCTATCAGCTAGTCCTTAGCGGCTGAGGGTCTCGCCAAGAAACAGAAGCCGGATGCGCCGGATGTGTGGCTTCGTCGATGTCGTTCGGGCTTCTTCTGCTTGGAAAAGCTTGCCCTCAATTCTGCACTGAAGTGAGGGAAGTGACGCTGCCTGAATTCCGCAATCGCGTGATGCCTTTTGGTGCTCCAGTTGCATGTCACATGTGCATGTTCAAGGCTTTAAAAAAGTGAGGACAAGGGAGGTGCTAGCTTTCACGCTTTCACCCAATTCCTTATCACGACTTCATGGCACTGGGAACGGCTAGATTCGGAACAGCTGGCAAGAGACAGCAGGCGGTTTAGCGCAAGTTAGCCAGGAGTACTTGCATGCTGCAGGGTTAGCTTTTTCAACCGCGTGGCGGCAGAGAAGACTCCGGGCATGGCGTTCAAACCGGAGCTTCATCAGCGGACGGGCAGGACGGAGGTCTTGATTCCAGGCCCCTGTATGAGGTGTCAGTCTAATGTCGTTTAGGCCCCGAAATTCTTGGACCCCCAAAAAAGGCCTCAACTCTGAACGGAACAGTCCGGAAGCACTTTCAACCATAGAAACAAACTAAGCCTGCCATTCCCACATCCTAATCCGTAAGTCGCATAGTCGACTTTAGCAGGAGATCTGCCTTCCTTCTGGCTGCGATTGCCTTGGGCTATGGCACTTCTGCCTTCGTCTTCCCAAGGATCGCGAAGGCTCTGCCGCAGCAATCTGGTGTGGGCCGCCCTTGAAGCGACAGAGAGAGAGGGAGAGAGAGGGAGAGAACGAGTGACAGAAAGCAGGAAAGAGACCCTATACCCTAAACCCTAAACAGATCGGTGGTCCGGCGGGGCAAGGGCCGGCGGGAAAGAAGGAAAGACGGAGAGAGAGCGAGAGTGGGAGAGCAAGAGCAAGAGAGCCGAGGGAAAGATGCCAAATCGCTAAAGCCCAAAACCATAAAAAACCAAGATCCTAAACCTAACTAAACCCTGCCCTACACGGGGAGGGTTTAGGGTTTAGGTGTAGGGAGCAGACGATTGCAGGCGTACCAACGCCAGGATCTGTCGCCCTCTGTCGTGAGGCACGCTGCCAAGGAGCCTTTTCCTGGGCTTAGCCGCTTGAGGGGGGTAGAGGGGTTAGGGTTTAGGGTTTAGGGCATACCTGGACCACAAAGAACCCACCTTTTTGGGGGGGGGTTCCTTAGCATGATTTCCTTATTATAAGCCCTTAAAGGGGAAGGCTCTTTGGGGTTCAGGTAGGGTTTGGTGTTTGCTTGGCCCAGGTGGGTAGTTACCGTTTAGTTACCGTTATAGGAGCCTTATAGAAGGTCTACATACCTTATAGAAACCTTATATATGCCCTATATACTCTAAACTCCCGGGTTTTTGGGATCTGTGTGCTCTGGCAGGAGAGAAGCCCGGTAGAACGGATGCAGAGGTTTCTTCGACCCCGAATGGGGAAGGCTGGGCAGCATGAAGCCAGAGAACCCAATACCCCTTAATTAAGGAATATATACCTTAAATTATAAGGGCCTTAATATTATGATTTGAGGTATATTCCTTCTTAAAGGGGTATGGGGTTCTCTGAAAAGCCTTGAATGTGGGAGCGCCCAGAGCACATCCCTGATCCAGGGAACCATTCGTGAGCTGCCTTCGAATGCTGAGATGATCGGCAGCTTGAAGATTGCATACGAGGCACGGACAATTCGTACCACCCTAAACCCTAAACCCTAAACCCTAAAGCCTAAACCCTAAACCTTCCGCCTTTTTGCATGCCAAAAACTGAGGTAGTGCTGAAGAAGCCCATGGGCATTGTCTTGGAAGATGGACCCCAAGGGCCAGGAGATTGAGCACCTAAATTCCTTTTTCATGGCATTGGTAGGGTTTGGGGTTTAGGGTCTTAGGGTCTTAGGGTCTTAGGGTTATTGAGGCTTAGGGTTTAGGGTTTAGGGTCTTAGGGATATTAGGGTTTAGGGTTTTGGGTTTCATGGCTCGATCTCCTCATCCTCAGATGCCTCGTCGCCCTACCACCGGCAAGCGGTGTGCAGGATTCGGAGTTGGCGTGGCAGACGTCCTGGAGACTGGCAGCGCGTACCCTGATCCAGTTCAGATTGCTTGTGTAGCTTAGGCTGGGTCCTTGTTGGATACAGCTTTACATTTTTGCTATCATAAACCCCCAATAAAGGAGTAAATCGTTTTAAAAAAGGCCCCAACAGGGAACCAGTAGGGACATGCAGACTCGTCCAAGCTTCTCATGGGATCCCAACCCGTTGATTCTGAGCCTCTGCTCTGGCTTGAGGCATAAGCTCCTCCAGGAAGTGCTCTTCGACGGAAAAGACTCCATGTGGATCCAGGAGACACGTCGCCCTTCTGGCGCAGGGTTCGAGGTCTTTAGGGCTTGCGATTGTCGAGCTTGATCTTCGAAGTTTGTGTGTTGGAGGCCCCAAGCATGAAGGTTTAGGGTTTAGGGTTTAAATATTCCGTGTAGTTATTTCTTGAGATTTAGGGTTTAGGGTTTAGGGCTTAGGGTTTAGGCTTGAGAGCTTTCCTTTCCACAATGGGTGGGTCCAGTCTTCCAGAGCCGGGAAGAGGATTGCCATACTGTTGATGATATAAATCCTCAGCATTACCTTAAGGACCCTAAACTATGGGAATCATGGCATATTCCTTGCTATGGGTAATGCAGGATTTATATCATCCACCGTTACACCCGGAATCCAAGCACTCGCCTCATGGCGGTTGTCACGGATGCCTGTGATGTCGCGCTCGAGCTCTCCATCGGTTCAAGTGAGCGATTCAGTTTATATTATGCAGAGCCACGGTTTCGGGTTTAGGGGTTTAGGGTTTAGGTCTATCTAGGATCTCTACATGTAGGAGTCTTGTGCTGATCTCATCTCCGTCAGAAGCATGGGACACTTTCACCTCTTGCAACTCCCGCCCGCAAACCCTAAACCATAAACCCTAAAACCGCTAAAACCCCTAAAACCCCTAAACCCAAAACCCTAAACCCCTAAACCCTAATCCCTAAGCCCTACTCTGGAAAAGACTGCCGGCAGCTACTCCGTGTCACGGTCATCTAGCTTTCTCTTCATTGTCTGCTTCTTCTTCTGCTGCTGCTGCTCTCATGCGACTCTTCTGCGTCCTCCTCCTCCTCCTCCTGCTGCTGCTGCTGCTTTTGTATACGGGGAGTTGCCGAGAACAAGGGGGACTCCTGATGAGGCTCCTGACCCCACGCCCCTCAAACCCTAAACCCCTCAAACCCCAAACCCCCCAAACTCCTAAACCCCTAAAGCCCTAAACCCTAAACCCCTAAACCCGAAACCCCTAAAACCTAAGCCCTAAACCCTCTAAACCCCTAAACCCTTAAACCCCTAAACCCTAAAGCCTAAACCCTAAACCCCTAAACCGCTAAACCCTAAAACGCCCCTCAAACCTTGCATGCCCAGAACGTGCACATGGGTAGTTCTCTAAATTAGGGTCCCTTCTTAGGTCCCAAAAAAAAGTACGGCACCCTTATCAAAAGGGCCCAAAAAAGGGGACCCTAGTTTAGAGAACTACCCACATCTTTGAGGACTGTTGTTGGAGCCTTATTGAAGGTCTATAATTATACCTTATGGAAGCCCTAAACACCCTAAACTCCCCACCTGTAGTTTCCTTTCACATACCCCAAACCCCCAAACCCCAAAAACCCTAAACCCTAAACCCTAAACCCCAAAACCCTAAACCCTAAACCCTTAAACCCCAAAAACCCCTAAAGCCTAAACCCCTAAACCCTAAACTCCCCACCTGTAGTTTCCT